GGCTGTACAGATTTGGGAATCCCATTTTTCCTTGTGTTTAGTTGAAGTAGGTAGGGGTCTATTTAGCCCATGATGTTTCTTGCCCCAGTTTTGATGACTGAGAAATAGGCAAGATTTCTTAATTTAGTTTCATGGATGTTTGAAAGTAATGAGGCTGGTGGTCCCAAAAAATCAGTCTGGGTTATAATGTTTGTGTAGAATAGTTATCCATAAAACATTTGGCAATCTCTGGTTTATTGACATCCCATTGGGAGGGTCGTTATGGGGGATGTAGGATTTAAGCAGAGTTTACCTTAGAGTTTTTGTAAGTAGTCTATTGAGTTTGTTGCTATGATCATACAGGTATCTCAGTCTGGAATCTACTTTGTTGAGCTTTGATCTTGTCCAAAGAGAGGATGTTGAGATGATCTCGTCGGCAACTAAGGACAAGACAAAGGATTATTTGTGGGCATTTTCCTCTTTCCTAATTTGGACTGTAAGAAATTCAATTTTGAATGCTTTATTTTTTTTTCAAATCAGTACATAATGTTTATAATGCCCTTATAAATTTCCCATTTCACCAGTGTGGGGATGTTTGGACTGGAGTTTTTGGCAAAGGACAGCATGAGAGCCTCTAGATGTGTTTTATTTGGTTCATGTTGGATCAAGGACTTGTTCAGCTGCCATCGCCTGAATTTATGGACAGAGTCGCCTATGTCCAATTAGATGGTAACTGAGGCATGATCTGATAAGGTAATTGGTTCCATCCTTCTGACTTCCCTCAGGCTTTGGAGGTTTCGCTGATGTATAGAGAAGTAGTTGATCCTAGAGTAGGTAGAGTGTACCAAGGAGTAAAATGTTTATTATTATTATTATACAGGATTTATACAGTGCCAACAGTTTGCGCAGCGCTTTACAAAAAGAAGGTAGTTAGTACAGTTACAATACAATTTGGTACAACAGGAAACAGAGGGTCCTGCTTACAATTTAGGAGACTTGTTTTTGGCCACTATGGGTCATGTCATGTGCCAGGTATGTCACAGAGAGAGTATAGGGGGACAATAAAGTCACCCCCTAGAGACAACACTCCCTCTTCACTCTGTCAATTTATCTACTGTACAGTATGTTCATAGAAAGTTACCTGGTCTGTGTAGGGGTTGTATATGTTGGTATGGTCTGTGTTGGTGTGATCTGCTATTGATGAACCTCTTAACAAAGAGGTATCTGCCTCCTACATCTGTCTTAGTTTTAAAAATAAGCACATTTGCTATCAGGACCTCTTTCATTTTAGAATCAGAGGACAAGTTGAAATGAGGTAATGGGTACATTTACAATTGGAAAGTGTAGGTGCTTGATCTTTTTTGAGTTGGCTTTCTTGTATGTAAGAAATTTGGGTTTTAAGTCTCAAAGGTTCCCTCAACAGGCAGGACCTCTTTCCAGGCATGTTAGGTCCCCTGATGGAATAGAAGGGAGTGTTGCTGATAAGTGATGTGGTGAAAGAGAAGGGGAGGATGCAAGGATACAAAATATAAACAGAGTAAATTTCCCACCCCCCCACCACTCCACTCCACCATGTGAAGATGTTGTATCCCTGAATTCTAGGAGTAGGACATCAGAGGGTACAGTATAGTTCCAATGGGAAATCTGAATCTCCTAATTCCAATTATAGAAATACATATTGGAGTATGGAGCTCACCAGTTACAAGTGGAATAAGAATGGTTGAAAAATGAAACTTTGAGAACATTTGAATGTGTAACATACTAACAGAATTGCTAATGGACTTTTTTGTATCTGGTTAAATTGACCACCGAAGCATTTCAATAAGGAAGTGGTTTGTAAGGTCCCTGGAGCAGGTTGAATGTCAGTTTGCATTCATAAATGGAATTGATTTACTAAAATATTATCCAAGCATTACAATATAGAAACATTAGCCACAGGGAAAATAAATTCTGTTCCTAGAAGGGCATTGGTGATGGAGAGAACTCAAATTTAAATTCAGGGAACTTTTCCCCAATCACCACCCACCCATCTGAATGTGGAAAATCTCTAAGCCCCAGGCAGAGGGTTTGCAATAGAAGTTATGTTGTGAGCCCAAAAAAAGAGTTACCTTCAGTGAAAACAGAATATCAAAGTGATCATCAGATCCAGAGATCAAGGTAGCGAACAATTCTGTACATATTTATCTCCAGCTTACTTGTAAAGACAAAACTTTTTGTTATCGCCCTAATTTCCACCTCCAAAGCTTCAGTTAAAGTGATGGAAGCCATTTTGACAAAAAGAAAGACATGAGAGGTTCATGAGGCAGAGCTAAACTAAACTAGTTTGTCAAGATTTGCTACATGAGCTACTAATATTTTTAAATTTACCAATGGTTTTGACATGCAGTTTTCACTGTTCATAGCCCGGTTTTATTTCTCCAACTTTGTAACAATTTTACTTTAAAGTGCATTAAACCCAAATAATTTACTTCTACTATTTTGCTTTATTTTTGTTCTGCCCATATTGTTGAAAATAATGTATGTAATATACTGTAATGTTATGTGATGTTGCTGCCTTCTATTGCTTAGAGCTATTATGCCTAGTTATATCAGGATTTGTCAGGAAGTGGTAATTTTCACATAGAGGCAATAACCTCTAACCTGGAACTTCCTATCCTCCATTTCGTGACTGCTGCTGAAACTAGCAAGTAGCATACAGTGGAGCTCCAAGCTATTCCTGGACTTATGGTGGAATTGTCCGTGAGTACACTCACTGATGGGATGAAGCTGTTGTATAATGTTTAATGTACTGACACATATGTTTGTGCTTATGTTGTAGTTTTACAAAGTTATTCAGAACAAAGAATACATACAGATCTGATGTCTCACGTTTCTTGACTTCTGAATTATTGTTAGACTGTCTGACTAGTGTTTTACAACAGTTCAATAACGCGAAGCAGCCAAGTAAAAGGACACCCACGTGGCGGTCTGGAATAAATGGAGACGCTATTACTGCAGCATGAGTCTAAGATCAGGAACAAAGTACCAGGCTGATGACACACTACCGCAGACACAGCGAGGTAGGGATAACAGCCCCAGTGCCCAGCAAGACGATGCACAGTCACATGTGTCCAGATCTTCACGATCTAGCAAGATGTCCTCAGCAAGTTCCTCAGCAGTTAGAGCTTGTGACAGAAGCTGCCCGTGTCCAGCTACAGTACACAGAAAAAGAAGCCATGATGATGCAAGACATAGCAGCTAAGAAAGCTGCCTTAGCAGAAAAAGTAGCCATGATTATGCAGGAGATAGCAGCTAAGAAAGGTGCCACAGCAGCTAAGAAAGCTGCCATAGCACAAGAACAGGCAAAATTGCTTATCCTGCAGCAACAGACTGCAGCTGCAGTTACTGAAGCAGAGGCCGCTGCCTACATGGGAACAAGCCGGTCAGAAAGTGAAAAAGCATATAAAGACCCAAAGGTTACAGAAAAACCTCTATCCTCTGCAGATCGTACAAGTGAGTACGTCCAGAACCTTACTGATGTACATACAAAGGAACAGTCTCTTAAACTTGAAGCAAAGGAAAGCTGGCCAGCTAAGACCAGTCCTAGGTTGCTAATATGGTTCACATATATGTGTATACCAAACCTGCCAATAACCTCAGTACAGTGTATATGTGTATATGTTAAAGCCAAAAGCAGAATCATTGCTGTGATTTAATGTGTCTTTGATTGTTATATGACATTTATATATTCATTGTGTTAGCAGAAGCAGAAAAGGAAAATATGCCTTTAAGAGTTAGTATAGAGCTGAGCCAATCACAGACAGCCTCACACTGTACAGAGCCTTAACCAATCCCAGCCAGTTTCACATTTATGCCTGTGAATAAACTCCCTGCTAGATTTTCTAGAGACACATGTTTCTCAACTCCAGACAGAGGAGGAAACAGACAAAGTTCCAATCAGAGAAAAGCTCCATGGATTTTGCAGAGGTGAGGCCAAATAGGTATTTAATGCACTTAGTAATTACCACAGCTGTTTCATCTGAGGGAAATCTGAAAAATGACCTGTTGGGGTGTCCATGAGGACTGGAGTTGAGAAACACTGTTCTAGAGACACATGCTCACCAGACAGAAGAGGAAACAGACAAAGTTTCCAGTCAGAGAAGCTTTATGGAAACAAAGAAGGCCAAATAGGTATTTAATGCACTTGTGTGTTCCTCTGTTGTTTAGCAATGCAGGTAGATCTGTATGTAAAAAACTGTTGTGTGTGTGTTTACTTGTAGTTCCACCGAATTTATCGAATTTACCGAAATAATTTAACAAATTAATCTAACAACATAAGCTAACGAATCTAACGAATCTATCGAGATAAGCTATCAAATCAACCCAATGTAATACGAATTAAACCACTGTAATATGAAAGAAATAAGCTACTGTAAGATAAATGAAACAAGCCATTGTAAGCAGTGTTATATGAAGAAGATTGAAGTTAATAAAGAAGTTAACTAAAGTATTCGGTGTGCTCTTTAAACCTACTGCATCCATAGAGCGGCATTGGAGGAATTACAGAGTAAAGTCAGTCTAATCAAACAAAGAAACAGCAATTGCAAATTTTTCTAATGCCCCCAGCGGGGGACTAGGCACCGTCAAGGGGGCGCCGTTTGCCCTCGGGGAACTATTACCGTCAGAGGTCCGCAAAGCGACTCCTCAACTTGCCCAGTGAAAATCTTCTCAAAACGGGGGTCGTCTTATACGCCGGTATACGTTAGGGTGGAACTTTTTAGCGGGGGCACCTGGTGCAGCTGTCCCCCCCCCTTCCGACAGAGCAGGGACACATAAGTCACAGGGGTGCAGAGACTGCTTAAAGTGGCATAACGGCAAACGATGATCCATCCAGAGAAAGAGCGCTGCAAACCTCCGTGCACCCCTAGAGAGAGAAAGAGATGCATGGGGGACTCCAGCCAGAGCTAGAGTGCCCTCACCGGTATTGGCCGCAAGAGAACTGTAGCATCAGGAGAGTACACAGGCATCCAATCACGGGCAGAGCAGGTCACCGCAGAGCGAGCGCAAAGTCCCGCAGAGCATCGCATGTCATCGAGTGAGGCAAAAGCCGGTAAGTGTGCAGTGCAGAGGTGCTGCTGCAACCACATATGCTGGCTGCAGCAGCACCATACTGCAACAGTGGTCAGCAAGTGTCATTGGTGTCAGTGGGAGGAATAGTGCCGCATCATTGGTGTCACTGATACTAATGATGGGGCATTATTCCTCCCACTGACACCAACGATGGGGCACTATTCCTCGCAAGAGACCACTGACACACACGATGGGGCACTATTCCTCCCCCCCTACTGACACCAAAGATGAAAGCACTATTCCTTCCCCACTGACAGGGTACTATTCCATTTAAAAGTGACAGGTCCAATTTGGGACATATTCCTGTTATAGCATGACACCAATGATGGGGCTAGCTATTGCCTCCCCACTGACAGCAATGATGGGGCGCTATTCCTCCCACTGACACCAATGTTGGGACACTATTCCTCCCACTGACACCAATGATGGGACGCTATATCCCACTGACACCAATAATGAGGCACTAAATTCCTCCCACTGACACCAATGAAAAATAAGTGATTAGGTCCTAAGTAAATGTTGGTGATCGGTTTGAATTCATTATTATTTATTGATTTTACGTGTATTTTTTCAGTATCATATGGTTTGACATGTCCAATCAAAAAATGTTTATAGTTTAAATTAAGGATTTAATTTTTTTTTTTTGAATTTCTAATGCACTTTAAATCTTTTCTGCTACAGTTAATAAAACTATTCTTTGTTGTAAATTGATCCACATTTCTTTCTTTTTTTTTTTCTCTTATACGTTAATAAGGATACAGTGTTATGCAGAGGTGTACTTATAACAATTTTTTTATAGACAAATGATACTATTTACAGCCGTGCGGGGGGCGCGAAATGTTTTCTTCTTCCTAGGGGGGGCATGACAGAAAATAATTGAGAAGCACTGATCTAATCAAACAAAGAACTAGCAATTGCATAATTTTCTAATGCCACAGCGCACAAGGCACCAAAGGGTGCTGCGGTTGCCACAGTGGAACTATTACCCTCAGAGGTCAAGCAACAGCGTTCCTCAACTTGCACAGTAAAGAGTACACTAGAGAAACAGAGCTCTGGCATATACCACCACGCGGAGACACCTCAGCGGAACAACAGTACAGGCCATAGCACGTGCGCATTAGTCAGGCTGCAGCCGACTCTTAAAGTGGCATACCGGCAAGGGCAAGACACAGTCAGAGAAAGAGCGCCAAGCGCCTCCTGCCTGCCCTAGAGAGAGAAAGAGATGCATGGGGGGAGGGCCAGAGTCCAGAGCTAGAGTGGCCGCACCGCTATCCATCAAGAGACCACGTGTTGCATCCAGAAAGTTTACGATACTAGTCTCAAGTCACCGCAGAGCATCGCAGTCATCGCAGAATCGCAAAGTCACCGCAGAGCATCGCAAAGTCACTGCAGAGCATCGCAATCACCGCAGAATCACAAAGTCACCGCAGAGCATCGCAAGTCACCGCATCAAGAAAAGTCTCCTTTAAGACTGACGTTTGTTTCTGCAACCTTCAGATCACAGTATCCTGCTTTTCAATTAAGGTCAATTAAGAGCTTTCCTTTATTACTCACTTATGCACATAGGTTTCTGCAGGAGACATTTTTGTGCTCAAGAGAATACAGACTTTTTTAAAAAAAAAACAGTTTAGTATATGAGAGACAGTTTTAAAGTGAAAGTATTTATTCCTGATTTTGGTATTACATGTAAAGTGAAAGTCATTTATTCTTGCATTTGTTAGTATTGCATTTAAAGTGACAGGTCCTTATTTTTCATATTATTTTAGTTATAGCATTCAGAAATGGCTGAGCCTAGCATTGCCACCCCACTGTTAGCGGATGCAATGATAGATATGGTAGAAGGTGAAGAGCAAGAGAACCCCTCTGAATCTGAAAGGTGCAATGAAACGGTAGTCTCGCCCCCCAAACAAATATAGCTGAAACAGGTGAACTAAGACGTTCATCACGGGACAGAAAACTGACCCAAAAGGTGCTAGAAAATTTGGAGCAAGAGGCAGCACTGAAAGAAAAAAAGTTTGCCCGAATGTATGAGAGGTGGAAAGTATACACCATAGACATTCGCAGAAAGCTAAAACAAGAAAGTATAAAGGAGAATTTGAGTGAAATGATAGAGACAGTAGAAGATTCTGAGTCAGAGCTTATGACAGCATATGTCAACTTGCGGTCGTCCTTGACACCCTCCCAGGATTTGTAAGAAACATGGATACATGTACCGCAGTCACTAGGGATTTAGTGAAGCTTATGAGAGAACTATCATCTGCAGCAAAGTATGATGAAGTCCAAGGCACGAAAGAGAATGAATGAGCTCTTCATGAAAGACTATGCTAGGTCCTTAGGAGGAACCACAATCTCAAGTCTGACTTCCATCACTAGCAGAAGCGCCAGCCACATAACAGAGTTCTCAAGTACGTCAGCCAAAAGAAAGGAATTAGCTGAACAACTCGCTGCCAAAAGAGCAGAAGTTGAGATGGAATCTGCCATTGAGGCTCAGCGCCAGGAAATGGAAGCTCAGCACCATAAAATGGAGGCTCAGCGCCATAAAATGGAAGCCAAAAATGGAAGCTCAGCGCCATAAAATGGAAGCCGAAAATCAGCACCATAAAAATGGAAGCCGAAATGGAGGCACAGCGCCATAAAATGGAAGCTGAAATGAAAAGTCTGGAAAGGCAGAAGGAAGTTAAGATTATAGAAGCCAGACTCAGAGTGCACGAAGACTCAGAGTGCACGAAGAGGATACGAATCAGGGTAGTCATAGATCCAAATCAGTGCTAAGTGGAGAAGCTGACTCCTACGTTCTTCCTTACGCAGGAAAATGGAAGGAAATCTCCAGCATGTAGTGAAGAAATAAGTCATAGTCCTTCCATCCCTGCTCAGAGAGAAAAGAAGAGAGACTCACCTGATTCAGAACAAAGTGGAAAAAGAGAACCAGATAATTCAACTCCCATATGTCATGGCAGTGGTCACGAGGATGTTGCAAACTGTTGACCCGGCGAAACCTCAGAGAATATTTCTCACTAGACTTCCTGTTCCGGAACCTACTGTATTCTCCGGAGACGTACTGAAGTTTATAGAGTGGAAGGCAAGTTTTGAAATGATCATTGAACATCATTGCTCCCGTCCAGTGGACAAGTTATTCTACCTCCAGCGGTATACTGGCGGAGAAGCAAAAAAGGTTCTTGAAGGTAACTTCTATAGGAAAGATGAAGAAGCCTACAAGCAAGCTTGGGAAAAATTAAATGCAAGATATGGTCATCCCTTCTTAGTACAAAGAGCTTTCAGAGAGAAGTTGATAAACTGGCCTAAAATAGGTCCTAAAGAACACTTCAAGCTCCAAGAGTATGGCGACTTCCTGCAAGCATGCAGCAATGCTATCCCACATGTTCAAGGACTAGAAGTATTGAACGACTATCTAGAAAACCACAGGATGCTAGCCAAGCTACCAGAACAAGTGGCTTCTGGATGGAATCGCTATGTGACTAAACAGTTAGATCACGGCAAAAACTTCCCAAGTTTCAAAGAGTTCTCTGAAATTTGTCAATAAGGAAGCACGAATAGCGTGTAATCCAGTAACAGCATCTTATGTCTTAAAACCCTTAGAAGAAAGGCCTACAAGAGAGATAAGACGCTCAAGAGCAACTAGCTTTGCAACCAACACAGCTACTAAAGGTCCAGATGCCCATGAGAGCAAGTTCAACATCACTACTGGGATCAGTAAAGAGTTTGAACCGACAAGTCTTCAGACTACCTTCAAGTGTATGTTCTGTGAAGAGAATCACTCCATACATAAGTGCCAACAATTGAAGGAAAGGTCTCCAGATGAAAAGAAGAAGTTTGTGTTTGATAATCAGCTGTGTTTTGGATGTTTAAGAAAAGGCCATATTACTAAAGAATGCAAGAAAAAGGCCACTTGCAGCAGCGTTTGTAAAGGACGTCATCCTACACCACTACATGAAGAACGTCCAAAGAAAGAGAAATCCTTAATGCCCAAGGACACTGAGGAAGAAAATAAAGCAACAGTATTCTCTTGCAGAGTGAGAGAAAGAGAAATCAATGGCACGTCAATGGTTGTACCAGTGTGTATTTCAAATCCTAAAAGGAAGAACAAGAAGGTATACGCCTATGCGCTACTGGATGCCCAGAGTGACGTCACCTTCATTGATCAAGAAATCTGCAAGAAATTACAAGTGGCCACAGAACCAGTGAAACTCAAACTCACCACAATGACAGGAAGAGACACATTGGTGAACAGTCAAAGAGTCAAAGGACTGAGAGTTAGAGGACTCCACTCAAACTGCATATTAGATCTACCTCCAGCTTATACAAAAGACGACATACCTCTGGATCGAGATCGCATACCTACCTGTGAAACAGCCAACAAATGGGAACACCTATCTGTCATATCTCATGAAATGTCCCCGCTGAAGGAATTTGGTGTTGGACTGTTGATAGGCTACGACTGTCCCGAGGCCTTGGTGCCACGAAAGATAATCGCAGGAGGAAAGGGTGAACCCTACGCAGTCCAAACTGATCTAGGATGGGGTGTTGTTGGAGGAAAACGACAGATTGCAGATTCAGGACAGGTGACAGGATTGTGTCATAGAATATCTGTCCAAGAGTTACCAACTGTAAGTCCAGCGAAAGTACTCAAAATCCTAGAATCCGACTTTGCAGACGTAAGTTCTAATGAAAAGAGTGTATCCCAAGAGGACATAAAGTTTGTACAAGTTCTAGAAGATAATATTCAGCAAAATCAACAAGGGTTATCTTGAAATGCCCCTACCTTTTAGAGAACGACCTCATCTGCCAAATACAGAGATCTTGCCCTGGCAAGATTGAAAAGCTTAAAGAAAAGGATGGGAAGAGATCCCAAACTCAAAGACGATTATTTGAAATTCATGAAAGAAATCCTCAAAGAAGGGCACGCAGAGAAAGTTGATGGTCAGCCTAAAAATGGAGAAGTGTGGTACATCCCACATCAAGGTGTCTATCACCCAAAGAAACCGGATAAGATCAGAGTAGTTTTTGATTGCTCAGCAAGGTACAATGATGTTGCATTGAACGATCATCTACTAAAGGGACCAGATCTTACAAACACTGTACCTGGAGTACTCTGTAGATTCAGAAAGTATCCCATAGCAGTCATGTGCGACATTGAAAAGATGTTCCACCAATTTCATGTGAAGGAAGAAGATAGAGACTTCCTGAGGTTCCTATGGTGGGAAGACGGAGATACAGATACAGAGCCAGCGGAATACAGGATGAAAGTACACTTGTTTGGAGCAGCATCATCCCCAGGTTGTGCCAATTAATGGTATGAAGTATCTGGCCAATCAGAATGAAAAGGATTGTCCATCAGCAGCAAATTTTTTGAAGAAAAACTTTTATGTAGATGATGGTCTTATAAGCCTAGAATCCTCAAAATCGGCAATTCAATTGGTGAGAGAGAGCCAAGAGTTATGCGCAAAGGCAAACCTGCGTCTTCACAAATTCATCTCAAACGACAGAGAGGTACTAGAATCCATCAGTGACTCCGAACGTGCATCAACAATAAAGAATGTGGATCTTAACTATGATCCTCTTCCAGTTCAGAATGTACTCGGATTGGGATGGAATGTAGAAAACGACAATTTTTTCTTTGAAATATCCATGGAAGAGAAAGTTCCAACTAGACGTACCATTCTTTCCACAGTAGCCTCAATATATGATCCGTTGGGATTCTTGGCACCAGTAATCCTCAGAGCAAAAGAAATACTGCAAGAATTATGCAGACAGAAGTTGGGATGGGACGAACCCATACCTGCAGGCTTGAGGCCAAGGTGGGAGAGTTGGATAAGAGACTTGCAAAATTTGAAAGAAATTCGGATACCCAGATGTTTTGTACCTCCTGATTTTGGAAAGTACAAGAAAAATAGAACTTCATCACTTTTCAGATGCCAGTAGTCATGGTTATGGTCAGTGCTCCTACATCAGAGTAATAGGAGAAGAAAAGATACACTGTGCCCTAGTTATGGGAAAGGCCAGAGTCGCACCCAACAATATTCAGACAATACCAAGACTCGAACTAACGGCAGCCGTCGTTTCAGCATCAGTAAGTCAGTTTCTGAGAAAGAAGAATTGGAATTGAAAATAGATGAAGAGCATTTTTGGACAGACTCACAAGTTGTCCTAGGTTACATAAACAATGAAGCTCGAAGATTCCACACCTTTGTCGCTAACAGAGTTCAAAAAAATTCGAAAAACAACGAATCCAGAACATTGGCACTATGTTGACACAAAGCAAAACCCGGCAGATCATGCTTCAAGAGGCCTAAATGTAACAGAATTGAAGAATTCAAACTGGTTCACCGGTCCAGAGTTCCTTTGGGAAAGGGAAATCATACCCAGTGAAGGTTATACAGAACTGTCTATGGGTGATCCAGAAGTAAAGGTAGTTCAAACATTGAGCACTGCCACCAAGTGTCAAGATGACATACTTGAACGACTAGCCAGATGTTCAAAGTGGAATACAGTCATAAACATAGTAGCTCGAATTCAACGCTTAGCAAAAGGAATCAGAAAGAAAGAATCGTTGAATGTAGAGGAAAGAGTGAAAGCTGAAGAAACGGTTATAA